GAAAAAGAAAAGGAATAAAGGACAAAGGAACTAAGAGAAAATACTTCAAAAAATTGAGAGCTTGGATTTGAAGTCAGCTTCCCCTGCCCTGCACCTCCTCTCTAAAGGAGTCATAATCATGTGCTACAGACCTCTCAGACTGTGAATGGAGCAGCAGCCATCTGCCAAGACCTCTCCCTTAAAGGAGTTAAGCACACAAGATGGTTGGATTGCTTCCTAAAGCCCAGACCTGTCTGATTTCTAATGAGATACACTGAGTAAAATTAGTAGATTTCTTGCTCTTAACTGACTGCAGTGATGACAGCTCCCAGCTACAGTAGATGTTGTGCTCCAGTTCACAACTTCTCAGCACTGAACATGTTTGAAGGAGATGGGAAATGGCAGCACAGGGAGAGGTCACAATTACATGAGAAGCATGGAATGTGAAAATGTTAATACACTAATGGCTGTCAAATGACTTGACAAAAAATATTTTATTAAGAAAAAGGAATTGAAGCAATTCTTAAATGCTCTTGCTCCCAAACAGGGAAACACTGGAGTATGCATATTAAAAAAAAAAAAGTTCCAATGCTGTGGAAACATTACTGGATAGCACATGTGACTCAAATGCTTCAAAAGAGCCATCAGCTTGCCATTTGTTTTATTTGTGCCTATGTTCATTATGTTGAATATTTAGGAAAGACTCCTTAAATGCTCTCTCAGCTAGATGCATGATTTCCCAAAGCACACAAAGCAAAGGCAGCCACCACAAGGATCTGGTTTTACATTCTGACTGCCTAGGCACAGACCAATGGTCTGTCGTGGTAATTGTATCACTAACTTTGTTAACTTAAAACAGCTGCTTTCCTTATTGTAATCCTATTAAACATCTACATTATAATCATCCAGCAATAATTTAAGGGAGAAGGCCTAAGTGAAACTGTCCAGAGCAAAAACTGATTTCAAAAATATATACAGAAAACAAACAGCTCAGTAGAAGCAACAGAGAACAAACAAATTGCCTGTAAGGGAGCAGCCCAGAGGCGGGGCCAGCTCAATGATTTACACTGAACTGAACAGGTGGAACCTGGACTGAAACTCAGAGCTTGAAATCTCACCCTGGGACTGGGGGTTGTGAGAAGGAGGAAGACATGCTGCATCATCTGATGTAACCACACGAATGGCACAAAAGGAGGTCTCTGAAGACATGAAGCACTACAGAGATGTCATGCTGCAGGCTAATAAGTAAATAATAAGCAAGAAAGTGGAAAGCCCCCACGGCTTGCAGCTTGGGCATAGAGGTCACACACAGCAAAGCACAGTGTTCAGAGTCTGGAAAGCACCTAGAAAACATGCCGGAGCCAGATACAGGTATCTGGGTAGGTCTCCTAAGACCCAGTCACTAAAGTCCCTAATCACATAAGCAGTCTCAATGACTTCAGTGAAGTAAACTAAACGAATTTTCTCTCTTTTTTTCTTTTTTCTTTTTTATACAGATCCAGATATTAAATAAGCTACAAGAAGTGACTGTCCCGTAGTCAATGAGTATGAAAATACAAGGAAAGCCTAAATAATGAATTTATAATTTAAAAAAAATTCAGACAGCAGCTGGCCAAGGTGCATCACGCAGGTACTGTCCACTGCCCCGCAGCAAGGGAGCACTGCTCCAGCAGCCCTGTGAAAGCAGTGGGGCATGGCAGGACACACTCAGCTCAGACTCTGTTGTTTGGGAAAAGAAACTGCACTGCAGAATTGGGTGGGGAGAGGGGAGCAGAGCAAGCAGCTGCCGAAACTGCTGTGCACCCACGGTCACTGCTCAGGTTGGGCAGCTTCCTGTAGGCTTTCCCCGCAGGCTGCTACTCCCATCTCTCCTTCCTCTGCTCTCATCCTATTTAGCCAATCTTTCCCATGCAGCCTCCCACAGAGGAGATGCATCTGTGGGCCGCTGAGCTGCTCGCTTTGCCTGTCCTCATGTTGCCAATGGTGAGCACCCACAGATGGGGTGACTCAGGCATTGTCCCCTCACAATCAGGGCTGTTGTGACATTCCTGCAGCAAACACAACACCTATCTTATTTTGCTCCTGGCATGACTGCTATGAAGAAATTTGTTTTCTCCATGCAGAACAGGAGCAGCAGGCTTGAGGCCGAATGCACTATTCAGAAACGTGGCAGCTTCATTGCCCACAAAGCTGTGCTCCCAGGTAAGCCTTCGCTGCAACATCAGAGCGTGCTCTCTGAGCCTTGGAAAAGAGGAGAAAGCTTCACCTTACAGCACCAAAAAGAACCACACAGGTGAAAGTGGCAAGCAGACCTGCAGGCAGGTCTCAGCAAAGTGCCGCTCTGCACTTTGTTAACTGCAACTGTAAACACTGCACAGCTGCGCTGCAACAGGAAAGCAGGCCCAATGCTTCTCTAATTTGATGAGAGATTTCTCTAGTGATTCACCAAAAATAATTACCCGAAATATAAACACGGCCAAAATTAGTATTGCTAGCTGTAGTGGGCAGGAACTATAGCAAACGTATTGACTCAAGGAGATCGGAATCTCTGTGTGGCCAGACTCACATACACAAAACTCTGCAGATTTGTCTACATTGGATTCCAGGTGATTTTATTGAAACTGCAATAATCATCGCTGAAAATGACTTTTCAGTGCAATGCATGACCCAAGTCCATGATGATGAGAGGGAAAAATCTGTGCAGATCTGGCATTTATGGTGACAATGACGTTCTTCAAACATTATTTCCTCAGCCCACAGGTGTTTTTCCATTTTGTTTGACAACAAGACAGAAAGTAAAGCCAGGGAATTTTTTTTGTACATCCACTGACAGCTGCTGCAGCCAGCTCTCTGCTGTACACAGAGCAGATCCAACCATTCCCCACAGTGAGCTCAGCACCAAGGTTATAATTTGTAAATAATAGAATCTATTTCCAACACCGCAGAACATATTCTACATCTCTCTTCAATGATATGCATAGAAAAGATTATTTCATAAAGTTTTCAAAAATTGTAAGCATCTGAAGAAGAAAGGTTATTTCAGAGAGGCTGCTGGATAGTACCAGGTGCACTTTCAGGAATCACTTTGCCCTCTGTGCCCTGGAGGCTTAGCTTTGTAGGAAGGATCAATTTTGCATCTGAAACTTTCCATAGTCTAAAAAAGCAAAGACTTTCTGTGAAGAGAGAGTGCAGTCACTTCTACCTTACTGAAACATTCATCCAGTTGCTAAGGGGCTCTGCTGGCAGAGGAGTGCCATGCTCTTTATAGATTCTCAAAAATTTGGGTAGATATTCCAAGCCTAAATTGTCTGGATATCTCACTTGGTTCCTCAGTGGAAATGGAGAATGTTGCTTCTTTTCCTCCCAAGTCATATGTTTATCTGAAAAGCATTTCACAGGAAGAAAAGCAATGACCTTCAGAGTGCTTAAATTCACTTCAGAATTCATTTTGTAACAGTGATATCTCCTAGATGCCTTCAGAGAAAAATTCAGGAGTAACCACTGCACAATAGTAGTTACTGAACATCTCCAGTGCAAAGTAACCTCCTAACTCTGCCCTAATCTGAGTGCACAAACCAAAGCTTTTTCATCATTTCAGAGGATGAAAACTGGGAGGGGAAAATCCACTTCTGTTAAAAAGAAAAAAAAGGCAGACAAACAAACAGAAACATTTATAACAAACTAAAATTGACAAGAGGCCATCATCAAATGGGAAGCTGTAAAAACGTATGCTTTATCAACAAATCCTTTCAAAGTTGGATAAATCATGGATAATATGGATAGCATTTACTGTCTGCAAAATGACCAAATGGAAATATTTTTAACACAACAGCAAGTGGTCTTTATTACAATACTAGGATCACTGATGTAACCACTATCCTGAAAGTCCAAGTTTTGTTTGAAAACAGAAAAAAATTATTCTCTATAAACTACATGAGAGATTTTTTGCAATGTTAAAGACCAAATGCATCTCTTGTAAGCTGGGATCCAAGACTTGCAGGTTTCCCTGGCTACTTTGCTAACTAGCACTGTGATCTTAGGCACATGCTTTTACACATCATAGTTCCTTATCTACTACAAGAAAACAGTATTACTCAGAGTTTCAGACAGTGCTGTTATATACAAATCCCAATGATTATTCATTCATTCAGAATGGACCTGGATGTTTACTTAAAGGTAGCAACTGCACAAATATTGATTTCAAAATGATCCAGAAAGTGCACTACACATTTCAGAATTGCTAAGTGCTCTAAAAAGTCAGTAAAACATTTAAGATGATTTTAAACAGTATATACACAACACAACTGAACACAGTCTCTAGACATCTGGCCCATATTAAAAAGTAACTCAAAAGCAGGTGCTGCTGTAAAGATGAAGAAACAAACCCAAAATCTCACACAAGTAAAAATCTCATGTTAACAACATTGCCTAAAAACCTCCTGCTAAGTCAAGTCTCTCTGGATCTCCAGGCACCAGAAAGTATTCTCATCCGGATCCACTTTTTAAAATCATAAATGTACTTGTACAGTAATGTACAGCCAACGTAAATTAGTCTGAAACTTGTATAAGCTTTCAAACACACATTATAATTTATAGTGATACCAACAATTGCTTGAGGAGTTTATAACAACAGATTATGTTAGCAGTGAACAGAGGAGAATTTCTATTGCAAGTTCTTAATAGCAGGTTTCATGCTCAAATGTTCATTTTCTTTTATCCATCATATCAACAGCATCAGGAAACAGTTTGAGTGACCACAACTTTTGCTCAAGCAATAGATTGCTTCTGTTCACCACTACACTTAAACATCTTTTGCTTCTCCAAACTGCCAAAGCCACTTTTTTCCTATTAATTTCCATGGAAGCTGAAACTTGCCATCATACTAAAGGATGTGGAGTTTTATTAACAAAAATAATAATAAATCAATTTTTCTCCCCTTATAATCCAAACATTCATTCAGCATACCGACTACAAGCTTATAAGGTATGATTTTGTAATCTGTATTTAAGTATAGTACTTACGGTTGGCATAATTTTACCAGGTCCTGATCAGTGGTGTTTGGAGGCAGTGCTCTGATGTAAAGGTTTGTTTTACTTAATTGATCCCATCCTGAGTTGCTGCTGCTACTACTGTTGTTATTACTGCTGGTGGTGCTGGGACTAGGAGGAGCCATTGGGTGGGCTGGTACAATGGACTGCTGCAAAGGAAAAAGGGCGTTAGAGTGAACTGCAGAGAGCAATCGCAGCATGCACATTATCTCAGTCTACAGCAGCCTGGTTGCCATTTGGAGTGCTGTGCTACAGCTGCAGTAGTCACTCCTGGATTCTAAACCCACTTTCACACTGGGTTTGGGACAGGATCTGTGGGCATGTGTGACATACCCAGCTCTTAGCTGAAGCATGCTCAGTACAAACACAGATTTAAGTTACACACAAACTCTGCTGAATGTTGCTCATGGGATTTTATCTTTGTTGTGGCATCTGATGTGAAAATGAAGAGAGGCTGTTCTAACAGGTATATACTACGTTTATTTCCTTCAGACTGTTCCACATCGTAAAGGGTTATTGTGGTAGATGTGAAGATTATGGTATTTCCTTCATCTATTTAGAAATATAAAAACAGTAAGAAGCCTCTTTTGTCCCTCTGCTGCCTTTTAGTACTACACGTGACACAATTCTATTTATTTTTAAGATAGAGAGCACAGACAGCTTAAGGTGTAGACCTTCTTTGAGCGCCTCTGTGGAATTACTGCCATTGATCTCAGTATTTGTGTTATTTCAATAATCTCAAGAAGACGACCACATAATTCCAAACAATCAAAGTCTGAGAAGGAGATAAGCACATAAACACTTTACATAGTTCTCAGAATATGTAATGTAGTTGTTCTTAAAATCAGACTCCAGCAGAACTCAAAAATGCCCACATGGAAATCTGCAGTAGAGCGGTCTTCATCCTTTCCTCAAGCAACAGTATGGAGGTCACAGAACAAAAAGTACTACAGGGTTGTAAGAGAGAAATACTGGAACATTACAGCTCAGGCTGCAGGTAAGTCTCATACACAAGGTCTTCACTGACAAAAAGATCCACTGCATGCAGCCCCCTTCCTGCAAGTCTGATCTTCCACAGCTCAGAAAGCTCACAGCAAAGAATATCCTTGCAAGCTGCAGAGGTAATGTGGAGGGGAAAAAAGAAAAAAAGAAAAAATGAAGAACACAAATGGAAACACAAACGTGCAAGTGTAGGCTCCTTTGCTCTTGCGCCTTTGTCACCCTCCTCTGTGGAGTTGCACAAGCACTTGTGTGACCATACCCTGAACCGAAGAATTAATACCCTGCTCTGGCTGACCACAGCAGGTAGGTGCAGCTCAGGCTGCCCCAGACAGGGAGCCATGCATGCACACAGGAGGGACTACAGCTCGCCTTGGTTCCAAGGGCTCAGGGAACTACAGCCTCAGCCACGAAAGTGAAACCATTTGGGAGATAACCCTGGGAAATCAGAATGAAATTGGGAGTGAAAGCAAAGCAGAGAAGCCTTCAATCAGATACTTCAGATTAATTACGTGTTTCTTATTCATGTTTCCCTGGGAAGGTTTTGAAATCTTCTAATTCAGTGCAATGCAAAGCTTATTATGCAGCAATAATAGCCTGGACCAGCAAACTGCAACACACACTCAATGCAAAATCAACATTGATATGGAGAAATGATGTTGTTGCCTATTGGAACTGAGCTAAAAATGAAAGAAAAAAAATGAATAAAAAGAATGAAGTACATTCACAATCATTTAAAATCCCAAAACTGATTGTCAGTATTCCATTGTCACTGAGCTGTTCCGTGTGGTTCGTGCTTTCGTTGTTGCTTTGTGCTATGCATGATTTTTTATTTTTATTTTTTTAAATCAAGGGTTTTAGGAACAACAACTCTCTTTCAAAAGATTTACACTGCAAGCTGAAAAACTAATACCAAATTTCTTCCAGGCTTGATTTAAAATGGGAACAAGATAAAACCCTCCCTCCATGTTTGTAATGGAAACATCGACAGATACTAACTACAGTGGCACGAGTCAGGCCATCAGAGTGCTCTGCTTCCCGTAACACCAGGCAATTACTTGTTGTGTTGAAGCAATGCAGAATGACAGAGCAGAGACGTGGCACAGTGCCGCTGCTCTCACAGCCACTCACACAGGCACCCAGTGCCATGGCTCCGCCACGCACACCGCCCCGCACGCACACCTACACAGCTCCCAGAGAAGCGAGCACGCACAAATCAGTCACAGTGCCGACTGGTAATCACTACCAGAGCCTCCATTCTGTTCTGCAACACCCTCAGTTTGGTTTTCAATTCTTGCAATGTTTTGCCCTTTGAGGCTTTGGTTTGTTCCACTGTGGAACTGCAGTTCTGTGCAGTGCTGTCCCCAGCTTGGCAAAAGCAAGAGAGGAAAGTGAGTGTGCATGTGTGCAGACAGCAGCAATCCTAAATCTCTCTTCCTGCAATATATAAACACTGTGTTCTGAGAAATTCAAACTTCTGTTTAAGCACGAAGATGCTCTATGCTAGTGGTTACATCCAAACACCACGGGAATGTAAATGTGATTACAGTCATCTTCCAAAGTTTACAGACAGAAGGTTTCTGACTGCTTCCACACAAACCCATACCTTCACCAGCCCTAAAAGGCTTCACAAAACACAGATGCTTGACACACTTCTGCAGCTTGCAGAACCCTGCAGCCCAGCAAGCATAAACAGCTACCAAAGGGCCAGCAACCCCTGAAAGCTACACAGTTCATACATGCTTTTTATGCTGAAGCTTCATCTTAAAATCCAAACCACTGTTCCTGCTCTGTTCCTGAAGGGACACCCTGACAACCAGAGGCCCCTCTCGGTTTGGGGCAGTTTGTATCTCCCCACCCAGCTGCAATGAGGCTCACTGTGCCAGCAGAGCAGCTCTGCAGGCGCGGTTGCATCACCTCCCAATGGCACAAGTTGAGCCGATAGAGCTCGCCTCCTCCACCACAGCTGCATCCCCACCTGGGCTGGTGCCAGCTCAGCGATGTCAGTGAGGATGCATGACTATTTTCCACACCCCTGGCTAATACAGCACTCACTGGCAAGATGTTCTCCTGTGGAGACCTGGCCAAGGGTTGAGGTTGTTTGTTTGGAAATAGCTTTCATGAACATTGACTGAACGCTTGGCAAAACTGAGTGCGGGCTTTGTAAAAAACTGTTATACAAACTGCAGTCTGCTGCTAGCTTGCAACTAAAGCGGCTCTTAAGATTTTATCACATGGGCTTCACTACAGCTTGCAATAATGTAACATAAACGAAAACATTGTTTTTAATTGTTCACTGCATCTTAAAACTCTGGACAGGAACAAGAAAGAAGAGTGCCAGTCCCTTTTCTTAGTGACAACATTCCTGCTGGTAACAAACTCGCCATGCTGGTTTCCCATTTTTTCCTCAGGTTCATTCCCAAGGGCAGCCAGGCCGTTCTCTCTCCAGTGCAGCATCCTTCCCATCACCCTCTCCCAACACCTAAATGAGAAGTCCAGCACATTGCAGTGTGAGCTTCCCCAGCCCCACCAGCAGTGCCAGTTGCCACCGCCCTGAGGGCCTGGCCACCCCAGCCCCACTGCAGCGGCTGTACCCCACGGGTCCGGGTGGGAAGGGAAATGAAGGAAAATCCTTGCTCCCTGGGGAGGGCCCTGCATGAAGGGCAGCTGCCTGCTTCTCTGTGCAGAGAAGCAAAATGGGAAAGATCAGAAGCTGAAAAAACAGCTGTAGAATATACTCATCTTTATATCAGCCATTCTTGTCTGTCTTATAAACCGTTCCATGCTTAAGGACTGGAAATGAGTCAGAGCAGGATTTTTTCCACTGAGGAGAAGAATCTTCTTTTTGTCAACAGGAAAAACACACACAAAAAACCCACCCAACCCAAACAAAGAGGAACAACCCTGAGAAATTCCTTGGACCTACAAGCTGAGCGATGCTGATCCCTGTGGCTTTCAGGCTACAAAAGTTGAAGGAAACCCAAACAAGCAGAAGATACGAACGCAGATAACCACTGTCCCACAACAGAGCACAGTTATTATGGTAGCAATCCATTTAATTCTGTATCTTGGTGTTATAAAAGCACATTTATGGAGTTATATAACATGCTAGCATTTAATTACAAGTTCCTTTGCACAGTGAAAATTCCTGACGGGAAAAATACCGTGACTTACCAACAGAGCTAGTTCTCACACATCTACTCTAACTCAAACCATAAATTACAGTTTGCATTAACCACCCAATTTAGCCTGAACTTCAACTTGGATCACCTCGTAGTTTCAAAACCTCGCCACCGGTGTTTGCCCAGCACTGTTCAGGTGACTGCACCTCAAGTACCTGCTCACCCACCCCAAGTACCTGCTTTCCCTGCCCTGCTATGCTTAGCCTCTCTCATTTCACTAACCAGTATTTCGAAACAGTACCTTCAGTAATTGGCATTGATTTAAAATCACTTTAAATTTTTGTGGATGAATGCAATGGTCATATAAATTACTAAAGGACATAAATATGGAAAAATTACGGCTAAAAATTAAGCTAGGAGGTGAATGTATTTATTTATGAACTTCACATGTACAAGGAGAGCCAGTGCTCAGGAAGATAGAAGATAGCATCTAGTGGAGAAAAAGACTGTCACACTTAAGCATCTTAGGAAATAGGAGGTTGTCTGGACAAATCCAAATGTTCAAGAGGAACAACTGCTCTGTGGTGAAAACAGTTGCTTTATCGATTTTCTTTGGACCAGGAATCATTAAACCTTGACCACTCATCCTCAGACTGCAAACTGACAGCTGAAACGGGGATGCCATTTTGAGTGTCCCACGCTACTTCATCTCACGTTTTCCATCATTGTGTCTGAAATGCTACAGCAAGCAAAATTCCTGGAGGCCTCTTCAAGTCCTATTCTCAATGGATGCAAGTCAACCACTAGGAATTGAACGATCTGCTGCTGATGTCTGCATTCACATCTCCTCCCTTAGGGTAGGTTCTCTGACTGTTGTTCTTCAGTCTGTCAGTACTTGTCACAAAGATGCAGCAAGTCAGCTGCTTTCTAAGCATTTTCAGGATTAAGCCAATAAAGAAATGTAGAGAGAATCTCAGAAGCTTTGTCCTCCAAATTCCCATTGAGAACTTTTTTGGGAGAAAAAAAAATTGGACTTGCCCCCTCTTCTTTCTTTCTGCCGGAAGTTCACTCCAAGCAAACGAACAGAATCTCAGTGATGCTGTAAGAGTCAACAGCACAGTTCCAGCAAGGGCTGCTTTACTGCATGAAGCCGAGACCATAGATGCTGTGTCTCATGATGGCACACAGCTAATCGCACACCCCAGATCCAAACCTCCTCCATCTCCATTTACATAGTGAAGATGGCTGCTGGTGCTGCAGCAGTGAGGAACAAGTAGGGGTTGGGGAGAGGCAGGACTCCGTGGGTGGAGGCTGGCATCAAGCAGAGACTCTCCCTATGATGAAACTTCACAGACAGCCCAGAAACACCTGGAGACCCAGCCCTGGGATTCTCAAAAATAAATAAAGAAATAACTCTCTCTAAACTTTCCACGTTTTGGCATGAAAGAACTGTGCCCAAAGTATTATAGCTGGCACTCCGATAAAGACAGACTGCAAGAAAAAGGCTAAGAATCAAGCACTTAAAAATCAAGCTAAAGCCAAGTCCTGCAGAAATTATTTCTCTAAGTACAGACAGTATTTTCCATACTGAAAGAAAATATAAGGAAACAAAAGACAAAGACAGATAGGATATCTCCAAAAGTAAACTCAGTTTGAAGGAGTCATTCTCATCTTGACTTTTATTTTAATTAATATTTTCATTCTTCTCTGGTCCATTACATTTTAACTAATCTGAGCTATCTTGCCAGTCAGAACCAGAAAACTTTCTGTCAAAACCAAGGGAAGCAGTCAAAGCACTTTTTTTCCTGAGTAAACTGGGAGGCTTTTTCTTGAAATGCAGAAGTGCAGGAGTGAATAGGTGCTTTTCTTCGCCTCCGTGTAAAAAGATGTTTATGGAGAGTGGTTCTATTAACAACAATATGAGACAGCTTGGTACAAACCCTCAGTCACAGCTCAGAGGCTCCTAACAATTTCAGCCCTGGGCTGTTCTGCTGCTAACCCAAGCCCTCTCCCCACTGACAGCTATTTTGCTTCCTTTTGCTCAGGACAGTTTGAGGACAAACCACCGGTCACACTAACAGAGCAGAACTAAATTTCTCACCAGAAAGCAGCGATTACCAACAATGGAAGGTGTCACTCCAGCTTGTTACAAAATGCTACGTTCTCATCATTTTAGAGAGCTGGAACTAATACTATTTAAATTACATTCACTGAAGTTCGATAGAATGGCAATCTCCTGCCAGTAAGGAAACAAGCAAAGCTCCAAAGCCACATATTTCTTTTTTTTATGAAGAACTTGAAAAAGTGGGAGCATAATCATGGCAACACTGAAGTATGTGACAATACCCACACTGATTTCATCCAGTACGCTCTTTTCCTACAATAATGATTTTTTTTTATTATTTTTAATTACTATTATGTTTAATAAAAAAGGAGCTCTAACTTGGGGAAGGCAGGAGAGGCTGTAACAACATTGCAGAGAAGGCAGGAGGAACTCCTCCTGGCTCAGGTAGCTCTTCTCAGTGACAATGAGAAAATTTCAAAGCTCCCAGGAGCTCAGCTCCTCTATCAAGCTCATCCCATCCAGGATTTTTAAGTGTTCCACTGACTGAATCCCCTCATCCAGAGGAGAATAAAAGACAATGGATCAAGGAAACCAGCTGTGCTGCTGCACAGAAGCTATCACAAAGGAGCAAGAAGGCAGTGCTGAACTGGCTAAGCCCCCATTCCTCTGCAGAAGCTATTAGTACTTCCCCCTTCTGCTTGCTCATCACGAATCACAGCATCCTTGTCCCTCTACTTTAGACTTGGATTCCCTGGAACAAAGTGTTGGTACCATGCCCTAGCTGTGACAACACCATAGACATATTCAAAGTAAAATATTTGAGTTTTAGTTTCTGCAACCTGAACAGGCTGGAACAAGTCAACATTTAATCTCAGTTCAAACAACAGGAGAAAGTCAAGATGCTGAAGTACCCAAAGAAAGAGAGGTTGGTACTGAGATCTACTGGACAGAAAAACACGTACATGTTTTTGTGGTTAGATCTTCATTGAGCAATAGACATAAAAGAATTCCCTGCCAACTTCCTTCTTGACTCCAGTAAATACAGAGACCTGCTTTCTTCGGTGCAACCAGCCAAGGCTTTTGCTCAGGATCCAGGCACAAAACAGTACTGAATCTCTAGACTGTGTTGAGGTTTCTGTTCCAGACTGAGGAGTCAATCCACAATTAGAAGAAAACACATCCCTTTACAGAGGAGCTTAACTCACATACCAATGCATTCGTACAAGGCTCTGAAAGTCCAGCACGTGGCACTGAATATAAATATCAAAAATAATTCCTCCCTTGCATTACACACCTACTGGTACACCTTACAAGCAGAGTATAAAATCCTACAACATATGCAATGAAATGCCAGAGGTAAGCACATAGAGGGGTGCTTGAAGCATTGAGGGCAACACCTAGACGGCTTAAGGCAAAAAAGTGCAGAAATAAGGCATTTGCACATTCCTCTGACAAACAACTATTTTAAGAAGTGACAGTGTAAGAGGTTTAGACATCCCGACACTACATGCTCACAGCAGTCCCTTCTCACTGTGTGCATGACTTTTCTTAAACATTCATAGAACAGGAAACTTCTACTCAGTGCCACCATTTAAAAACTCTTCAGGCGTTGGCCCAAAGCAGATTAATATCAAGCAGAAAGAACAAGTTTTCAGGCAATTGTTCTGCTTCATGAAAGCAGTTGAATTCCCAGGATATGAAAAAAATAAAATAAAATAATGAGCCAAACTGCAGCTGACACATACAGAACTCCATAAATAGTTTCACTTCTCAGTCAGCCATCTCATGCCTTGCAATTTTTTTTTTTTTTTCTTTTCTTTCTTTCTTTCTTTTTTTTTTTTTTAAGAGGAAGAGGAGGACCCAGGGAATTTCACAGCAGTCAGCCAAGCTTCAATTCCCGGAAATATTCTGGAACAGATTATTAAACAATCAGTTTACAAGAATCTGGATGGTAATAGAATGAGGAAAAAAAAAGCAGACAGAAAAGATCTGTCAGAAACAGATCACATCATCAGAACAATCTAATTTTCTTTGCTGCCAGGATAACCAGCTTAGTGGGTAAGGCAGAAGCAGTAAATATATATAGATCTTGACTGAGACCTCTGACACTGTCCCACATGATATTTTTCATCAGCAAGAAAAGGAGATATTGCCTGGATCAGCAGTTCCTTCCTAATGCACTGCAGCAGAAAGGGCAGCACAGGCAGGGGAGCACCACGAGCAATGTGCTCATCAGCTGCTCAGCTCACGCTGCCCAGGGAGGGTAAGAAGCAGAGCAAAAGGCACTGGGAGGCACTGCTGAGCCCACCACTTCCTCTTTCTCCCAGCCCTTAAATGCATGGTACATCCACACCTTTTTGTTTTTAACCACTTCATAGTGAACAAATCTGCCCTATACACTACTGAAGATCAGAAAGTGTAGCAATTCCTCACAATAGAAAATATTGCTATGATAGTGGGATACTTCTATCATTTTTTTCCAAAAAGAAAAAACAGTCCAATATCTCCTGTAATCAAAAATCCAAAAGAAAGATTAAGGCAATTTTCCTATTTGGTAAATTTAGAAATGACTGCACTGAGAACTGAAAATAAATAGCATGCATTATCCCTTTACCTTACTTCATTTTTAGCATAGCTCCTGCGCTGAGGCAGATCCTCAGCTCAGCTGTGACTTCATTCACCTTTTGTGCCATCATCTAGTTGGAACTTTTGCCTCCACTGCTAACAAATGGGGCCATGGACAATATTCAACATAATCCAAAAGTGACTGCTGTCAAGTATCTGTGTTTACGACAAGTTAAGATGCATATTTTTATGAGCGCAGGTAATTAAGTTCATAGTTTCATAAACGGAAGCAGTAAATATGCAACACTCATGAAGCCACTCCCACTTCTCAGCAATTTGGGATGTCATCCGTCATCTCATCCCAGCAGCTGGCCAGCTAACTCAGTATCTCACAAAGTTGCTGCCTGCATTCCAAGTACCACATTAGAAAAAGAACATGCTACAGACATGAAGATAACTTGGGCTTATCCAGAGAACTGCTTGAATATCTGTAATACTGGCAGCACAGTAACAGCATGTCTGACCAACCTCTTCTTTAAGAGAATACAGAAAAAAAACGTTCTCATAAAAATTCCACATAAGAAAAAAAAATTACAGCACTTTCCTGAAGTATTTTTTACTGTTCTTCTATATTACATGTAATAAAGATTTCTATTAAGCTCTCATAAATATTGTCTCTTACTTACAAAACATCAGAGGTTTCATGAGGCACGTAGCTAAACTTCACAGTTTTTGATTTCAGCCCTTCTTACATTTTTTTCCCAAAGGAAAAAAATAATCCTAATTCTCCTTCCCCCCTCTCCCCCCCCAAAAAAAATGCAATTTCAGCATTCTGCTCATCTGGACAGCCTACCCACCTTCCCTCCATAGACAGCAATTATAGGACAGAAACAGCACAGCGCTGAAGATGCATGTCAAAAGAAGCATCTGCTTTTTTGGCAAACTCCACACTGTTGGTGGCACTTGAATTATTGCTACACTGTTTGTCACAGGGTTAGACCACAGATGGCTCTTTTGGCTGACATGGGATCCGCTATGTCATTTTCTGTTTATTGAAGTTAAGAAATAAATTGAAGAACTTGTGCCTGGCCATGTACGAGGGAGTCAATTCATATTCACATCCCTTTGTCTGTGAATGCGGGTCCCATATGGGCAGGGTACCATACCAGCACTGCGGCAGCATTGTTAGTCTGCACCCCTCTATGCTATTTCAAAGAACAAAACATATCTTCTTATTGGCAAAGCCATCATTTTGCTGTGCCAGTATTTAATGTGCAGTAACCCCCCAGCCTATTCCTGCCTCTCCTACTGTGTTCTTTGAAGAAGCGGATGGGAGCGTACAGGCAGCTGGCTCCAGCCCTTTCTGCTACATTCCTAAATCTTAATCTGCCTCTGGCAGCCAGCGCCCATCTCACCACAGCCAGCAGCATCTGCAGAAGGAAAGGGCACAAAAAGCCCTCAGGAATAAAAGCCAGTTTGGTAACACCTCATTGCCAAGACTGAATCCAGACAACCCCAGGAACGCATCCTTTTCAGCTACATAATTTATGCTTTACACTATGGACCAGTTCAGATATTTTATACTTCCTGCTCTGTTTGCAAATGTTTTTCTTTTTTGAAACGCCTGATGTATCGCATCTCCAGACTTAACTACTGCACAGGCACTGGCAAAGAATAAGGTAGCAGAGAAACACTGCACAAGTGCAACATGAGGGTTTCCATCAGCCTGGCACCAAGTGGTCCCACCCTGTTGCTCAGCAGCTCGTTAAGTGCCCGCAGTAACACCCATGTAAGTCAGAAAGGCAGCATCTCACACTGCAGGAATGAATGACTTCTGAAAGTGCTGGACACAGGGGATATGTAACTTAGTACCACTGCTCTCCCTGCCTGCTCCACTGCAGGTATTTACATGGTCCTTTGTAACATTTCTCTATGTTTCAAAGCTGACTGCTAGTTTTTCTCAGTACTCTTGTAAGGATTTAGAAGTAATCCATTCTTTCCTTTTTCTCAAAAACAAACAAAAACACACAAAGAAAAGACTTATGACTGCAGCTTTGATTTCAGGAGAAAAGTTTGATTTCCTTTCTTTTTCCTGAAAACAGCCCCTATCTGCTGCAGTGCCATCTCTCAGAGGATGCAAGCAGTCACTGACACAACTGCAGGGGAAGCTCAAGTGTTTAGCTTTAATAATGACTGCAGCCCCTTTGGTAACAGCCCTACCCATAGCGTGTTTTCTATTCTTCAAATGGTTCAAAGCTGCCCATCCATCTACCACAACAGGTGCAGAGATCAGTAACAACTCTCTTACAGCAGGCTCCCAGGAAGATAAAGCTATAAGGCAGTCCAGGTCTGCAGTACATCAGGAATGAACAAGAGCAAGATCAGTGGCAACTTTTCAAATGACTCCCTATGTAAGGAATTGTCAGTTCGCTGAATTTACACACATCAGCCTTGTTCCACTTTAACCTGTGGTTCTGCCTCCATTTGCACTCAAGAGTTTTATAATTCCAATACCGTATAAAACGGACAAACCAGAGAGCAGAAGATATAATGTTGGCAAACCTTCCAAAGCAAGGCTTCTCTACAGAGTACCATGGAGCAAATTCTGCTTGGTTTGCACATTGCAACAAACATGCCAGTTTTCTCCGGGTTTTAATGAGGCTGTGTGTAGCACGTACACGGCTGCAAATGAAATTCCTGAAGTTTTCTAAATGACTCCTGAGACTCTATGTAACATCTTAAAACTTGGAAGCTCAAATCTCACTAGAAAAGAACTGGAGTCAAACATTATTGTTTTTACAACATTTGCTCCCCCTGTATCGTTTCCCATTGCACAACAGGCGCTGCAGACCCCGTGCAAAGGGCAGTGCGGGTGCCCGTCCGCACCAAACCAGCACCAGAGAGCTGTGGAAGTGGTGCTCACTCACAGCTTTTTGTCATGCAACTGGAGCTGCAGTGATGCAAGAGCTGAGGAAGAGCTGCATGTCACGGAGAACCACTTCTGACGACTGGGACCAATGGCTATCTGTTGCCTTCTGATATTTCTCAAAGATGACTTTTCTTACAGCTTTATAAGAAAATCCACCACAATGGCTTGCTTACAGCTTTGTAAGAGTGATCCATTTCTACAAGCCTACGTCAACAGATACATTCACACATAGGACCACCCTCTGCCCATCAGGAACAGAGCGATTCACACAACTTTCCCCACATAGCATGTGGCCATTTACCTATGCACAGGCACCACAGAACAAGTCTAAAATCAATTTAGCATGACTAGATTTAACCCCTGGAAAAGACAGAAACAAAAAACAGCTCCTCTGGTCGATGAGTTGTTCAGACAGATACCCAACAACCTTTATCCCGCAGCTGCTCCTACTATTGAAATGCTGCTTGGGAACAATTTTGGAGACGCTGTAGACAACCTCAGACTGCCTGAGCTGCTCAGAAAACAGTGGTTGCAAAACACATAGCTCGAAAAGCAACAAGAAACTTTGAATATGTCTCTAATTTGTTATCACCATACTGCCCACACACATAGCAACGACATTGGTGTTCTTTCAGACCTGTGCATCCCATCCACCAGGATCTTGAAACCAATTAGAGATCACTTGAATGCTGATCACTACGGCAGCATCACACACCACACTTCCTAGTTCTGCAGAAACCATATATCCAGCCCAGCTCCTGCAGGAGCCGGTGGTGCCATGCCATGAAATGGTAGCTGTACATCTTTGGTGAGCAGCTGGCCCCAGAAGGGATGATGCCTGCCTCTCAAAGGGCATGAGCAGCAATCTCTGCTATATTCTAGCCATTTTTATTTGAAAACAAGTTTGGAAGTTTCAAACTCACTGCGTATCAAATCTGCAGTCATGAGAAACTACTTACAGATAACTATGAGCCGACTGTTTTTTATATGACCATTCAAAGAAAAGAAAAAAAAAAGGCACATTTTTATATTAGCAGTATTACCTCAAGGATATTTGCATTCTTTTCATCTACTACTTTCCAGTACTTTAAGGATCTACGCCCACAATGAAGGTAACCCAGAGCACTAAATGCCCTGGGTCAGACGCGACCCTTCCCTAACAGCACGCCTTCCATAACAGATCCCTGACCCTGCAACAAATGCAATAATGTGGCTCTGAGCCAGCCCACTTTGGGTCAGAGGAATGCAAAGGCAGAACAAGGCTGGGGTACGAATACCTCTGCCTGGGGCTGCCAGTGAAAGTACCACTGAGCATCATGCAGCTGCACCCTGAGTTGTGGCTGTTGCCATTAATTACTTGCAGGAGTCAAATGTCTACAGAACTTCACATCTAATTCTTGGGGTCAACTTATGCCATGAGAAAGGTAACTTAAGTCAGTTCCTATTTAAACGACGAGCTTTCAGACTAAAGACAGTTCTGGGTAGTTAGCTAGTTCTGTTGTTGAAAGCTATCTCCGGCAGCACAGCCCCGTGACCCAGAGAAGTCGGCTTGAGAAGTCTCTTTAAAGCAAAAAGTTGCTGAACACTGATTAAAAACAAACTGGGGATGAGCTCTTCTGAACTTTCAGCCAGAAAAAAAGAAAAGTGTGACACATTTTGTTAAAAAGTATTAGGGAATCTAACCAATTAATGCATTCAATCCTCTTTATGCAAAGTTATTAAAAAAAAAAAAAAAAGTTAAGTGCTTCCCTAAATGAAAAGTGATCAAGGGTTTAGAGATGAGGAGGAGTCCTTCTGTACATGGAAGCAATTCACCACAACACTGAACACACCAGATCTGGGGACATCATGAAACAAAGCCAGGAGCTAGCTAAGATCAGCATCCAGCATCCAGCCTGATTTTATAACTACTAGGCTCCTACTCTTTGCAAATAAGGAAACCTGGATTCTTTCAGTAGGATGACTGAAGGATGACCTGAAGCTGCAAAGGAAGGCAGGATTAGAACCAAAGACTCACTCCTAAAAATTGGGGTGAGATTTCCATAGGTAAGCAAGCTCTGGTGGAGCTCCCCAGCAGATTCCTATCTGCACCAGTGGGATCACTCATCCTCACCAACCTCTTACAGTCTGACCATGGCTGCAGGCTGAGCAGAAGCACAGATGGCCGAAATTTTTCAAACTTTGTTGATTGGATGTTTTAAGCAAAAGAAAAAGTCAGGTTTCATTAGTTGTGAAGTAGAAGCTGAACTTTCTGGGAGAAGTAGGATTTACAGCCAGAGACAAGGAAAAAGGCAGTAGAAAGGAGTGTAGAAGAGGCTGTCACTGCTGTAGGCAGGCATGGAGCCCGCAAGTGGCTGCTGAGGGAGGGACCACAAACTGCAATCACACTTCAAGGAACAGCTCTGTAAGACGGCTGAAAGCAACAGCCCTGCCCTCACAGGGGAAAAAGAAAAAAAAGAAAAAAAAAAGGGAAGCTCAGACTCCTCCTTTCACCATCAGTGTTGACTCATGGAAGTAGTAACAATACAGCATCAGACAGCCAAACAATCAGAAATGAAACCAGCTTCAGTTTTATGCACAAACCACAGCAAATACATTTGGTACCCACGTCTATAACTAAACCTTACAAGTACAGCGACAAGCAGCATGCACGAGTCCACCTGCTAAATCTTGGGTGAAATCCTGCCTGTGTAACCACATGAGGTGATGCTGCTCTGGCTTTAGGGTCAGATTTAACTTACAAGCTTATCTGAAACAACTCTGAGTTAGTTATCCTTCCTTACTGAAGGACAGAGCTGAGATGGTTATTCCTTACTGGATCCAATACTTGAGAACTGATGTAAACTGTTTTTCTGTAACGACAATCTCCCCCAACATCTTCATGCATACTCTTCCAAAAAACCTTTTGTCCTTCTGCCTGTTTTTTTTATTATTTCCTGTTCTTCTTGAAATTTGGAATTCTTATTGGAATAATGCAAACAAAAGGCCTGTTCGAACTTCCTTTCGTGGTACTCATCAAATTTCTCTTGTGTTTTCCTTTCTAATTTGAAACTTCTTTCTTGCTTTGAACTAAGTGATAAACACATATATGCACACACATCTATGCACACTTTGTAAACTCCAATAACTCATGTGACCAGCTTTCAGTTCTAGGGAAAAAATGGTTTTAAGTGGTTAAGAAATTTAATTCAGACATCTGAAACTCAAGCAATATAACACAGACTTAAAATTAAAATGTCAGCGACTTCATAGTTCATGACAATTAATGGTTCCATCACAAAATTTAGTATGCAAGTTAAATTACAAATGTTTAGCAACTGTACACTGAACAAATGCAGGATAGTGTTCTTTGCTGCGTGTTAAGTCAAAGGAAGCAACACTCCAGATAGCTGTTGGGTGAATGTCTGCCTGCATAATGAATCACTCAGACATTGCAGATCATTGTTAATTCTGAAATGAAAATTAGGAGAATTAGCTAACACCTAGGAAGACTTCCAGATGTACTGCTAATACAACACTAAATACATGAGGAATTCCACAGCCAAGATCGAGTGGTCCTGGCAGCACAGATAATAGTATAGCTCAAACATACAAACAATTACAGCTCCAACTGCAGAAGTGAAGCAGGCAGTGCCTCCAGCACTCACCAGCATATTTAGACACACGTGCGCTGTGTATGAGCCCAGCTGGCACAAACAACTGCAGCACCTGTGTGCAGCAGCCTCAGTTTCTGGAAGGGGCTGTTTCACTTGAACAGTGTCTGGTGCTGTAGAAACGGATGATGAACACTTAGACGTCAGACACAAGTCAGAAATAAACTATGCTATTTGGGCACAAAGCCTGGTCCATCCACACTGTCATTGTGTTCTAGTCTTCAGCACAAGAATTCAGCGGAGGAATCTTGTCTCTGAACACATCAAAAAATTGCAGATAAAAGAAAATACTCCAAATTAATGACCAACTCTTAAATACTGTAACAAAAGGGTATCTCCAGGCTAACAGCAAACATTTTAAGAAAATTAATCATTTGCCTCTACTTCTTGCACAAATACTGTTCTGAACAACTGCTTTCAGCTTTGTTCTATTATGTGGGCAA